GCTTTTTTGGGGAGGAAAACACAAGGAATCGGGGCAAAATAACGCACATCCGGAACCAACAAGGGGTAGGAGAGACAGCTCTGAGCCCGCACTCCCTTTGGAGGAAGAAACAACAAAAAAACGAGGCAAAGAAAGCAGATTTGGGAGCAAAAAGAAGTGAGTGCGAAGGCTCTGAGCCCACACCACCATTTTGGGAAGACCAACAAAGAATCGGGGTGAAACAACACACAGATTTGGGGACAACGAGGAGGAGGCGAGACAACTTTGAGCCCACGCTACCTTTTGGGGAGGAAACGAGAGCAGATTAGGGCAAAAGGAGACAAATTTGGGGACAAAACAGGGTGGGGGAGACGGCTGTGAGCTCACCTTGCGCAGCCCGGGCTCCACGCCGCCATGGTAGACGTGCAGGCGGAGGTCGTGCGGCCGCAGCAGGCGCCCACCGGGGCCCAGGTAGGAGCGCAGGTCGGCGTCGCTCAGAGGGGCGCAAGGCGGAGGGGGGGTGGATGGCGGCGAGGTGGGGGTCTGGGAAGTGCTGTCGGACCAGGCCAAAGCTGCCTGCGCCCTCGCCAACGTCCGGCCCACCTAGAAGGGGAACTGGTGGCACTGGGAGGGACTGGGAAATGTTGGGGAGTGGGTCTATGGACAGGAGGAAGGGGCTGGGGGGTAACTGGGTGGCAATGGGGGGGCGTAGAATGGGAGACGGAGTGCTAAAGGACTGGAAAAATACTGAGACAGGTTTGTGGGACTAAAAAAGGATTAGGAGTGAACTGGGGGAACTGGGGCGATGGGAAGAGACTGTGGGGCAACTGGGAATGGGATTGGGGATAACCAGAAATACAGAGAAGGCTCAGAGACAATCCAGGAGCATTGGAAGCACTACGGGGGCCAACAGTTAGTAGAGGAGGACTGAGGAAGTTAGAAAGGAAGCGGGAGCATTGGAAATGGGGGCAGAGAAACATCGTAAGTGCTGGCAATAAACATGGGGGGGTACAACGAGATGCTGGGAGGGAGCTGGGGTGCAACTGAGGGGCGTAAGGAGATGAGGGGTGCGGAGCCCACCTGCGCCCACAGCGCCTGTGTGAAGGGCACGGCGGCAGCCAGCAGAGAGCGGCGCTCGGCCGGGGGGGGCGGAGGGGGTTCAGCGGCCGCCACCTCTCGGGGGCTGATGATGTCCCAGTCCTCCAGCAGCGGGCCTGCGGGTGGGGGAACAGCATCAGTGCAAATCTGGGGGCTTTCCATGCCCCCCCCGCCCCCCCCCCCCCCCCCAGACTGCTCACAGTCGGTTGCCGGGCGCACATCCAGGCGCAGGCGTAGGGCGGGCCGGGCGGTGGTGAAGGCGGCTGCCAGATCCCCATCGTTCAGCAGCGGCATGAAGCTCTCCCGGCCCTGAGCGTCGCGGGCTGCAAAGCTGAGGGCGAAGTTCCTCCTCCTGTGGGCACAGCGCGTCAGGCCCCAGCCCGGCACAGGGCTGAGGTGGAGGATAAAGGGCTGCGCTCACCCCTGCAGGTCGAAGGCACGAGCCAGGATGTGCTGCAGGACGTCCAGCGAGGTGATCTGCGGATCCACGGCAAACGAGCGGAATTCGGGCGGCTGCGGCCCTTCGGTCTTCTGCGCACAAAATGGCGACGGCGCCTCAGACCGCGCCGGGCCGCGTTGCCGTGGAGACGCCGCCTCGTCGCTCCCGCGCTCGCCCCTCATTGCCCGGCGCCGTCACGTGACCGACACCCCCCAACTTCATTTGCCGCTTCCCCTCCCCCCACGTGACATCCCCGGGCTCAAGCCCCGCCCTCACCTGTACGCGCACGCGCACTACCTCGCACTCCTCGTCCCCGCAGGCCCCGCCCCCCGGGGCCGCCATGGAAGCGGCCTTTGGGCCGCCGCCGCCGCCCGGCGGATGGGTGGGAACGGAGAGGCGTTATACGTCACCGCGCTGACGTCAGGGCGCAGGCCCCGCGGCTGTGGAGCGGAGTTCGGGGCTATCCGGAGCGCGGCGGCGAGCGCGTCCCCGTCCTGCGGCCACCGCGGCGGCAACAACATCCGGGTTGCTGCCCGGAAGTGGCGTCAGAAGGAGGGCACTATGGCAAAGCGACGCATGCGCGCGCGGATGGGACACCGCCCCGCCCTCTAAGCCCCGCCCCCAATGACGCATCGGCAACGGATTGGAGCACTTTATTGAGGCGGGGGAAGGGCACGGGGGTCGCATGCTCCGCCCCCTCAAAACGGCAACGCCCCCTTAAAGCGGCCACATCACCGCGGTGGGCCCGAGCAGCAGAACTTTGTACAGCAGCGGGGAGCGGGCGGGGCCTCGGCTGACCCCGCCCATTGGGGGGCCTGGCCGTCACTCAGGGTGGAGCTCTCTCATTGCGGAGCCGCGCCAACTCCTGGGAGAGCATTTCCAGGTCCTGGGGAGGGAAAAGGGAGGGGCGGGGTCAACACAAGCCACGCCTCCAACAGCCCAAATGCACGCCCCCCGTGGAGACCACGCCCGTTCAGCTACACAGCAGGGTGCAGAAAAGGCCAAAGCCCCGCCCACCCCCTAGGCCCCGCCCACCCCTGGGCCCCGCCCACCCCCTAGGCCCCGCCCACCTGGCTCATGTGCAGGTTTTTGGTCAGCTGCTCCTCCAGGAGGTTCTGCAGTTTTTTGTTCATCTCCCGCAGCCCCTCCTCCCCCGGCCCCGTTCCACGCCGGGGGGCAACGGGGGGTCCTGCAGCCTCTGCGGGGGGGGGGGGGGGGGGGGGGGTGGGTGGGAAGGGGAGGGGTGAGGAGCTGCGCCCGGCCCTGTGGGGGGGACATGGGGGGGGGGAGGAGGGGGGCTCACCCAGCCGGCTGTCCCTCACGTAGCTCTCAATGATGGCGCTCTTCCGGCACAGATCCTCCGCCATGGATGCGCTGCTCACCTCCAGGTGCCGCACCTGGGAGGGGGATGAGGGGGGCTCAAACGCCCCTCATCTCTCTGCCCCTGCCCGCAGTTTGTCCCAGTTCTGTCCCACTGTCTCCAACCCCTTCCATTCCCCTATTCCCCACCGAGTGGGACCCCAATCCCCCCCCCCC